TCGAAATTTTTACGAAAGCTTGTCGATTTTTTTATGTTATTTAAAGATTTAAACTTATTTTCATACAGCTTTTGTTAAGGAATAAACTATATTTTTATAAACAAATAATTAAAATTAAAAAAGAATAAAATAAATAATAACCAAACNTCGATTTTTTTATGTTATTTAAAGATTTAAACTTATTTTCATACAGCTTTTGTTAAGGAATAAACTATATTTTTATAAACAAATAATTAAAATTAAAAAAGAATAAAATAAATAATAACCAAACCTAGTCAATATGTGAGTGTCGTAAAGTTATAATATTTAAGAACATCTCTTTCTTAATTAACGATGACAGTGGTTTCTATAAGAAGCTGATTTCGAAATTTTGTTTTAATAAAATTTAATATCGAAAATATTCGTTCGAAACTTGCCTAGGAATATGAGGTTGATAGCACACCTTGTGCCAAGGCACATTAAACAGGTAGTATCAGTAGAGCAAAAACAACATTTGCGTGTATTTTGTTGTTGCTTCTGGTATCGAAAGTGTCAAAAACTGTTCTGAATTTTTTCTTCTAAATCAAAGTGTGCCATGTAAAATACAAAAAATTATAAAAAATAAAAAATTGAAATTGGAAAAAATAAAAATTTATGCAACTTTCTTTCCTAGTAAATTTGTTTGCTTCTCGATGCATTGATCCATCCTTTACAAGGGCCAGTAATCAGCGGTCGTGCTGCCGAGTTGAGCGAACGTTCCAAAAGCTGCTATTCAATCGCTTGTTTTGTATGGAAAAAGGTTTCACATGCAAATGGATTTTAACAATTCAGAATTTTTGTGAGAAAAAATTAAAAATATTTGACATTTTCGAGACCAAATAATTTGAAAATAAATCAAATCAGCTGCTCTACTGATACTACCTGTTCAATGTACCTTGCCTTGTGCCATGTTATAATGGTTCGTTTAAAACCTTTTTTCAAAACTTGCAAAGGCAAAAACGAAAAAAAAACTTTTCCGCAGTGAATTTTGTGAGCTATACATATATTTATAGTATTCATCACAAAAGGTGCTGCGTAGTAGGAAAGTATCTTGTAAACGAAATTGTATCAAAAAAGTACAATCACACCAAAAATGCCAACACTGGCCTACATACATATGTATTTATGCACACACACTTTCATTTCACCCGCTTCTTCCTCCAACAGCATTCGATTGCAATTTTACGAGAATCCTGCTGGGAAATCGACAAGCTGACGTGCGCAAAAGCGATTTCAACTCAAATACCTGTACATACTTGTGTGCATTTGTTTGTGTTTACAATCGCTTGCCACAAAGCGTTTCGGCGCCATTAAAGCAGCAGTAATTGAAGAAAATCAGGTGCAATGGTTCTAAAGGCTCTTTTCACTTATTTATCGTCGACTTAATAACCTACCTACATACATACATATACATATTTATGCTTGTATTGAATTTTATTATTTGTTTGGCATATTTCACACAGTATTCATTCATTCACTTGCCCATTCGTTCATTCGGTTATTTATTTAACTTTAAGAGTACTATGAGAAGATTTAAACACATAAACGTTCATCTACACATTCGCACAGTAATTTGCTCGCTCTTCGATTACTAAAATCCGACTATGACTATTGACATACATAAACGGTGTTTTTTTTTAGACATGTGGTTTTCAAGAAGAAATAAAACGCATATAGTTTAATGTTATGGCCAAGAATGAAGCTTTATTATAAAGATAAAGGGTTTACCATTATGTTTAAAAAGTGATTTCGGGCAAGTAACCGCCGCGACTGGCTCGAATAAATTCCAGTCGCGAAGCCCAATTTTCGACCACTTTTTGCAGCTATTGGAACCGTGCCAAATATTTTCGCCAAATATTCTTCGGTGCGCACTGTACGGCATCTCTGTGCGAAACCGATCCATGGTTGCTCGAATTACCGACTCTGCTTGGCGATTATGTCGACCGAATATTGGACGCAGCGCGCGATGCGTCACCCAAACCGAACCATTATTTTGGTAATAAATTTTCACGATTTGCAAACATTGGCAAAGGCAAACCAAACTGAGTATAAATCAAGTAACAGCTGTCAAAAAGACCAACTACGAAAAAAGTATTGCCTCATTGAAAACCACACGTCTAGAAAAAAAAACACCCTTTACATACGAAAAAGTTCTGGCCGAGTTTGCTGCGAAAATAACGGTCAACGTGCACTGTATTTCTTACAGTGCATGGCTGATCACTACTCTGAGGATATCCACAATCTTCAACGCTTCGTTAAGAAAGCACCGTGCTTCCACCACATGGGTAGTGACATCACATTAGGTCTTATTGGCCTAGGTGTGTTTCCTTGCTGGGAGAGAAAATTATTTTGAGCAAAAACCGTTATGTTTTAGAGCATACATACTACAATTCAGACGAGAGTATAGAAATATCTACATACAGCTTAAATCGGCCGTAGAACCCATTAAGAATTTCTAATCATTTGCGATCTTCACAAAATCGTATGGGATCTGGTGTCTTGGGGGCTTGTCTGGATATTTACTGAAAGATCATAGCTTTTGGCATTTTTCAAAAATACCGTTATATGCCATTTTAAATAGCAACCTACCTGGGATAAAGTGCAACCTGTATACCAAATTTCGTCGATATCTAAGTTTTTGCTGGAGTTATCGTGTACACGGACATACAGACGGACAGACAGACATGACTGAATCGACTTCTCTTTTAATTCTGATCATTTACAAACAACCGTTATGCGAACAAAGTTATAATACCCTGTGCACAAGTGGTGCGCTCGGGTATAAAAAAGTGAATATATCCATACGTAAATATGTATGTAGACACGTACAAATATGTAAAGAAGCTTCGTAATAGCCATGGAAGAATTTAGTGGCATACAAATATACAAAAATTTGATTAATAAAAGTGCAAATACCAAGCATGATATATACATATATATATACATATGTACATATTTTCCTAAGTGGTATAAACGTAAGAATAACTGCATTATTATATATTTATATAATATATACATATATGTTTGTATGTATGAATGCATGTATGTATGTATGTGTATGCATTCGCTTTTAATTAAATTTCAAGCAAACTTCCTTGGATTTCTGTATGCATTTAGCTGTGTTTAAGTAAGCAGAAAAAAGGTTTCGATTTCTTGCGAAAAAGGCGAGCGCCAAGAAATTATGAAGATAAAACAACGTTGCGTGATAGACGCGCATAAAAATACCTATGAAGATGAAATGTTGAAGCAAAATTACATAAAATCTAAGAATAACTTACATACAGATGTACACATAGTTAAGAGTACAAAAATTATATATATATATATATATATATATATATATATTACATATATTTAAGTAAATATGTATATATGTACATACATACATATGTATGTACTATATGTATAATGTATTTCAGTTAAGCATTAATTTTTTGTGAGTAGAGTGTAGCATATGGAAGCAATTTATTCTCAAGACAGAAGCTAATTAAATTTGAATCGCTCGTTCTTTGGAAGAACGCCATAATTCAGACAAATTTTTTTTAAACTACTATTGAGGTATTGAAATTACAAAAAATACGAAAAATTGTCTACCATTAAACAATTGGCATGTGAAAACAAAGTTGCGTATGTGTATCGGAAATACACTGTGCATTAAATAAAGAATTTGGGCATTAGATAATATCCGTATAACTATATTAAAATTACATGATATTTTTTAAATTACCGGCGTCAATGACCTTAAATTTAAATAGTTTCTTTGGATTTTTTAATATGTTTATGTAAATGTCTTCTTTTTTTTGAAAAGGTTACACCGATTTTTTAATACTAAAATTTTTCATTAAATTTTTGCTCATTTAATGTTGAGTGGAAACCAGGCATTTCAATTTGATTCTTCTCCATTTGTCTGAGCAACTACTTACATATAAAAAAGAACAAACACTCTTTGACCAAAGTATGGAGGCATATTAAGGAGCCAAATTCTATGGAGTATATTTATTATATATTACTTTAAGACAAGGGAAAATTTTCACTAAAAACGTTACTTAAAACCATTTTTCACGCATTTTTTATTATTCAGTTATGACGTTCTTCTAGCAAACGAGCAATATGTATGCACATAGATAGCCGTCGAAAATCATGAGGTGTGATGAAATATAAATTAGCAAAAAGGCATATGTATATATGCGTGTATGTAGGTAGGTACAGTAGTGGCCATATTAAAGTTACCAACAATATAAGCAAAAATAATAAATAATTAAATACCAAACAACAAAGGTAACACAATAAACGATAGTTTCTATAAAATAAATATATATGTATGTACTATTAGTGCAAAATCTCAAAAGAAGGATATTTGCACAGGATGGCGTATGAGTAACGCCTTTTGTTATATATTCCAAAAGTAAAAGTATTGAAAATGGTGCAATAATATGAAGGACACTGTAAGCTTTGTTCAATATTTAGTGGAAAGCAGAGTGACCAGATGGTGACAAAAAATTATGAGAAATTTGTTTAAAAAATAGGTCAAACAAAATTAGCGCAGTGAAAAGAGTCGGCTTCCGTTAGATGGGCATCTAATGGGGATTCCAAATTTATGCTATCAATGCATCCAGAAAGAAGAAGTTTGAATTTCCGTTAATGAATGCCACCTCACTGATGCGAAAAACACAAAATTTTAATAAATAAAATTTTATAAAGTAACTTTTATCTGACCACTACTGTATTGCTGTATATGGTCGTGTATATAATAGGAGTATACGTTAGCATAACATAGTATTTATGTATTAAACATACATACATAATTTTGAGTAAATAAGAGAAAAGTGTGTTTAAATAATTTGTTTTTTGTCTTTTTTTTTGTGTTGAGCAAGACAAACATTCCACTAAATCACAAACATATTGACAAACAGGACATTCAATCAGACATATCTACATAAGTATGTAGTAGGTATGCAGCGAAATATGTATTTATCTCTTACCAACAGCAACTCATCCACACCAGTGCCATCGCCGAGCGGATTTATCGATTGTAATTGTTTTGGATCGGATATTGGTTCCGTGGCAAATGCATAATTTCGATTAAAATTTCTCATAAACTGTAATAGAAAGAGCGGGTAAAGGAAGAGTACAGAGAAAGAGAAAGGAAGAAAGCGGGAGATATCAACTTGATGTAGTTAATTTTTGAATATAATTTTTATAAAAAAAAAAAATCATAAATGGGTGGCTAAATTGTTTATAAGTAATTGGGACAACACAAAAACATGTATACAAATTTAGTTTTCATAAAATATTTTAGGTACACTTGGGGGTTTTTTCAGGTCCTTAAACTAAATAGGTAATAGAACAATGAAACACATTTGCGATAAAAGGTAAATACATACTAATGTATATACAGTAAAATTATATGCACATATTTAACATATACAGGTGTGTATATACTAGGATGGTCCAAAAACAGTAAAGTCGGAATTTTCGTAGAAATGGTATAGAATTCTTGAAAATCAGTATTGATCGGAAAACTCTGGTTCTCTTCATGATACTTTTAATAATAATACCCAATTGTTTATTTGACTATTTTTTAATACTAGCGATTTTTTATTGGTCCCCCCATTGCATTTTTCGGGGTTTTTGACGGACCTATAAATTATAGTTGCGATGAAAAAATGGTTAAATAAACAATTGGGTATTATTATTGGTAATCTCCTGCAGATAAACAGAGTTTTCTGGTGGGAAAATGTTGATTTTTAACTATTCTATGCCATTTCTACGAAAAGTTGTTTTTTCCCCATTTAAAATACATGAAAAACTTTGGGCGTTTTGAGCGACCTCTAAATATTTTTTGATTTCAAAATAAAAAAATAAAGGTATATTTTTCGATATAGAACAATCCTAGGGGGTGAGAGCATACAAATTCCGACTTTACTTTTTCACATGCATTTTTGGACCACCCTAGTGTATACTCTGTCTTTTTTGATACAAGTTTTGTAATTTTTAACAATGATAGTTGAAGAAAAAATTAGCACACGCAGGTATGGTAATTTTGAAATACCACCCACGTTAACGAATTCCGCCAAAAGTCAAATTTCCCTCAATTATCACAAAATTTCCTGGTATACATATTCTCCTTTAAAAAAAGCTACGATTGTCGAAAAAATGCACAATGAACGAGTACCTTATACTATGTTCACATTGCAACGTAAATTACTCAATTACTCTACTACTTCACATAAATTAAGTGAGTTCGTGCGCGTCATTTTCAAATTTTCCTTCAGTGAAAAGCAAAACTATTGACTACAAATTCGAATAGATTAAATGATATACAAGTTTTATAAGCTAATGCAGAGATTAAGGATTAAGGAATCACAGAATTAGAAATCGAATTAAACTCGTAATTAGTATTGGGTCTTAGTCCGATGAATATGGTGGCTATTGTTGCGAAGAAATGAAGCTGAGTAGTTTTTTTTTTTTTATGAACTAAAATGCAGCCGTCCACAAAGCCAAAATTCGGCAATGCTAACGCCAACACAGAGCAGAAAGTTGGCCAACTATCAACTTTTCGCGTGCGTCGCTCATCATTTGTTGTAAATAAATAAAATTGTGTGAAATATGTTTCCTTTTTAATCAAATGCGGGCAATAAATATCGTTTTTCATGCATTTATTGATATGAAATATTAATTTATCTTTCGCTAGTTTGTTAATTTAGTGACCAAAGCATTCGCTGCCAAGCGTTCGTTGTAGCAAGCATACTCTGTCAAACCAATGGAAACGCCAAATCCTACGCGAAAGTGAACGGGTTTTCAATCTGAGGGTACTTTCCCTATATTTTTAATTTTAGACTATAAAAGTAAAGCTCTCAAAACACGATGACGACCTTGCTAAAAAGGGTTAAGCTTCACTGATGTATAGTCCTGAGCGAGGCCTTTCCGGTGACATAAAAATTAAAAAAATCGGATAGCAAATAAGAAAGTTATAGCAAAAAACGGGATTTACCCGCGATTTACCCGCGTTTTTAGCGGGTGCAAAAAAAAATCTACAGCCAAATTTTTTTCTCGACATAAGTATTCAAATAAAACTGGCACACGCTAATCTTTTTTTCGTGATACGCCTTAATGTATAGTGAGCAAAAAAGTACGGGCACAGAGAATTTTTCGCATTGTATGCAAAGTTTTTTGTTCTGGTTTCTTTTCGCTAATTTTTTATAAAAATATAGTTCATACTACAATAAAAAAACATAAAAATAAAATTTCTTAACTTTGTGCAAAACTCAGGAAAATTCAATAAACTTGCATACTAGTTTGCAGATTTCCAATAAGATTTGTTCAGTCGCAGTAAATTTTAGTAAAAAAGTGCAAGTTTGAAGTTGCTAAAAACCGGCGTTGATTTTTGGCAATTTTTTTTGTGGACGGAGTTTTTTTTATGTTTTTAGGAAACTGCGTGAAAAAAGCCAAAAAATTCCGCCTGTTTTCCGTCATGAACTTCAGAAGTCGGGTTTTTATCAGCTTCAGTTTAGAAAATGACCTTGCAACTTCTGCATTTGGGAAGCAATCTTTGACGTTGTAATTAAACAAAAGTTTGTACAACCATATTTATTTGGTTACATACAACTCCTTGATTTTTTTCATAGTCGGGTTAAAACTGCAGGCACAAGTTTTTAAATTGTATTACCTCGTTCCTTAAATTCTCATCCAAGTCCTTTTCGATATCTCAAATAATTTTGTACTTTTTTCTAACATTTCTTCATCACCGAGCGTGTCTAATTTGTTGAGGAACTCAAAACGTTCATGGACTCCCAAGTGCATCCATTGCAGGTATGAAACTTTGAATTCGAAATTTATTTGATGGTTTTTTAATGTCATCTAATTTTTAAAAATATTTTTATTTATATTCGCTTTATTTTTATTTTATTTTTTAATTTAATATTCTTTTATTTATTATTTTTAATACCAATGATTTAGATTAAGGCTGTCGCAGTGGGTGATACCAATCTGATCCCTATGATTGTGCCGGTGGCACGCGTACTCCGTTTACCTGCCGCCGACTCGACGAAACGACGCATTTTCCTTTGCTTACTAAACTAAATCAGCTATGTAGTACTTAAATTACGTTGTACTACAATGTGAATCCCCTTCGATTAGGGTAAAAAAGCAACTAAATATGCCTTTCATTGACTCGCGTTCAGTGCCTTCTGCGTTTCTTAAAATTGTAAATACATATATAATTTTTTCACGTTTTATAAATTTTTCCTTTCTTAGTTTCATTAGTTTTTTATGTGGCTATGGTAATGGTAATGGCAATGGAAATAGTATTGGTAATGGCAACGAAAATGGTAATTAAATAGTAGCATCAACGGTAATGGTATTGGTAAAGGCAATGAAAAAGAAAATGGTAATTGTAATGGTAATGGTTATAGTAATGGTATTTGTAATGGTAATGGTATTGTTAATAGTAATTGCAACGGTAGCGATTATGGTAATGGTAATGGTGTTGTGAATGGTAATTGAAGTGGTAATGGTATTGATAATGCTATTGGTAGTGGTATTGGTAATATTTAATAATAACCATATTTACACAAAATTTGTTTGTATGTACATATGTAATGCAATTGTTAAATAAATCTATTAAACGAAAAGTGGTCTGCATGAGACGGCTTCATGCCTGATAGTTTTTTTTTTTGTAACCAGCTCTGTTTCAAAAAGAAATAAGTGGCATTGAGTCTCATCTATTTTTATCCGTTTCTAAGAAACGAATAGCCAACTCTACCAAATGACGGGCGGTTTTATAAGCATAAAGCAAAATCAAAATAAAATGAGCATTATGGCCAATTTGCTATTTCATTCAAACACGAAAGCGTATAGCATCAGTATGCCTGTATGTACATATGTGCATACTTAGTCATAAATGTAATCCCATACCGGACACACCCACCCACCTACATACTCACTTAATTATTCAGCCGTGATTCGCACATAATAACATTATTTGTCAAAGTAATCCATCACTAACAGGCAACTAATACAATTTCTTCATAGCCAATGCGATTACATACATACATACATACATACGTACATACATATGTGGCGAACAACTTTTTGCATTGTGCATACAAAATAGTTGAATGCTTTTGTATAAGTACATACAAATGTACATAAGTATGTAAGTATTTGCACATATGTATGTATATAGTAAGTATGTAGCAATGGATATAGACATCTGTAAGCATTTTCCATGACTGGGCATTTTTCACCGCAGCCGAGTACACTTAACTAAGCACTTAGGCAAATATGTCTGCAGCAAGTGCAAAAATGTTGCATTGCATTGTATGTACGAGCATGATAAGTAGTACTAGATGCCATATGGAGAGACACGTATGCACCAACGATGTTGTGAACAATTTCTATTTTTGAATACAAGTATATATGTATGTACATTAGGGCGGGTCAATTTGTATGGAAGACTTCTTCGACTATGCGCGTATGACACAGAAGGATTCTACGCGTTACCTTAAGCAAATTTGCCGAAGAAACCACAAGTCTAAAATAAATTTTGAGTTTGACGAATGGAGAAAATACGTTTCTTAGCATTTTGCTGTCGTGTCGTAAAGAAGTTTTAAATTTTTGAATAAAAACTCGCCAGAAGGGGTTTTTGGCCAAATTTGCATAGAATTACACATAAAATCCTTCTATCCTATAAGCGTATGGTTAAAAAAAAAATGGTCCGCCCTAATGTAGGTACATACATATGTGCACAAACGCAAGTATTTAAGTAAGTAAGTGTCTGGAAATGCATAAGCATCTGGTTGCGATATATTTGATTACGTTTCAAAAGTTTTTAGCGAGTAAACAGATCCATATTGAGAATATATATATACAGACATACAACCATATGTAGGTGCATATGTACATATGTATGTACGTATCCATATAGTGTGAAAGTACATAAGCACTTATTTATGTAAAGAGTAAAAAATTGCGAAATGCTTGTGTCACAGCCAGCAAATTGACAACCCGGCCACACATCCACTATCACTGCACCAAATCCATGTTGTGGACACTTAACAAATTACCTTGCAATGAGTGAATAAGAAAATTCACGAAT